CCAGGCAGTGGGAATGGGAACGTGTGCCGGTGTTGTGTGATGTGTTGGACGGGCGTGGAGTGCTGGTGGGAGTGTAGTGGACGGTGCGTGGGGAGTGCTGGTGGAGTGTGTGGACGGTGCGTGGGGAGTGCTGGTGGAGTGTGTGGACGGTGCGTGGGGAGTGCTGGTGGATGCGCCGGGTCCCAGAACGTCTTTGTTGCAGCTGGTTCACCGACCTATTTAAGCTGTGTACGTTCTGGGGGAATTGAGACAATGTCACAAAAGCAGTGGACGATTTGACCAGGGTTTAGCTGTTGGTCACCGCCGTGCTCTCCTCCCCTGCCCATCACATATGGAGTGTTGATGATCGGCGTATCATCCGTGTATTGAGTCAACAGATCCCTATTCAGCAGTGATTTGCTCCAGGCTCCAATGTGGTTGCTGGGGCCGCGGCTCTCAGGGTGCAGGGATCTGGGGTGACCGTGTTGCATGTGCAGGTGGCAGAGCTGGAAGGAGATGGCCAGGGCGAGGGGATGTGAGGGATGGCCCATTCCCCAGCACTTCTTTTTTTTTTTTGAGACGGAGTCTTGCTCTGTCACTCAGGCTGGAGTGCAGTGGCACCATCTCAGCTCACTGCAACCTCTGCCTCCTGGGGTCAAGCAATTCTCGTGCCTCAGCCTCCCTAGTAGCTTGGATTACAGGCGTGTGCCACCATGCCCAGCTAATTTTGTATTTTTAGTAGAGATGGGGTTTTACCATGTTGGCCAGGCTGGTCTTGAACTCCTGACCTCAAGTGATCCACCTGCCTTGGCCTCCCAAAGTGCTGGAATTACAGGTGTGAGCCACCAAGCCTGGCCCCCAGCACTTCTAAGTTGAACTTTCAAACCTCATGAAGGCTGAGATGAGCCCCAGGCAGGGCCAGGAGACTCAGCACCCCGAGACTCAGCGCCCCAGAGCCATGACCCTGCCTGATGCTTTCGACTTTGAGACGCATCCTGCATGCTGGGCCAAGAGGGTGGGTCCCCACGGTGCCATCGGATGCTGCCCGCGGGACAGTCTCAGTGGGTCCTGAGACTGGGATACCCGCCTCCTCCAGTCCCGTCTACGTCGCTACCCCTGTTTCTCCGCAGCTCATGCACAAGTCACAGCAGCTCGAAGGTGACTCCTGCATTTCGTCCCCTGGGTGACCTGAGACAGTCACAGTATTTCTGTAAAGCTGACACAGACCTTTCTCACTCCTGCCTCCCCAGGACCCCCAGACGTCCAGGACGCTGACATTGATCTCCAAGACCGTTCAGACCCTCGGCAGCCTGTCCAAGTCCAAATCTGTGAGTCTCCGTTCTTCATTTTCTCTTTTTAGGGACAACTGATTCTTTTCTCTCTTCAGTAAATACACATGAAAACCTCCCACATTTGAGAGTTAGATCGAGATCGAGAATCAGAGCTGGCACCACATCCCCTCCTGAAGCCCAGGACCCCAGCATCCCCGTCCCGCCCACCTCTCCCCTCCCAAAGTGAACCCGTGACTGTTTTCGGGAGCCTGTGGCTCCTCACTGACCCCGTGGCAGGAGCAGCCTCTGACCTGTTAGGTGTGGGACGCGGCCGAGCGGACCGGGCAGATGGCCTGACCTGGGGCCTCCTGGGCATTGCAGTGCTGGAGGCTCCCCTACCACGCGGCCCCCTCCTCCCCACATGGCCCGCTCCTCCCCACGCAGCCCCCTCCTCCCCATGCAGCCCCCTCCTCCCCACACGGCCACTGCCTCCCCACACAGCCCCCTCCTCCCCACATGGCCCCCTCCTCCCGGGGCCCCTCTCTCCCTGGGGATATGAACCTCTGTCCTCCATCCTCCTCCCTTCAGACCGGATGTAGTGCCGCCAGGCTGAGGGTCCCTCAAGTGTCTGCCCCGTTTCCCCCTGAGAGCACCTTGTGTGTTTGAGGGGTTCAGAGCTGACATTCGAGGGGTGCTGGGGACTCATGGTGGGGCCCGAGGCTGTCCCTGCAGGGGCCCGGCCAGGGCAGGTTGATGCCTTCGGGCGCCCCTGGGGCTCTGTCTGGAGAGGGCTGGGCTGCGGTGCACAGATGGGCGCCCCTGGGGCTCCGTCTGGAGAGGGCTGGGCCGCGGTGCACAGATGCCCCAGCCTCCAGGTTCCCTGTTCCTGGTGAGGCCCGGGTGGAAATGAAGGCTTTGGGGAGCAGGGGCCCCCACTGGAGGAGCAGCCGCCCTGAGACAAACGTTGGGCTTTTCTGAGTCCGAGTGAGTGGAAGACGAGCCGCACCCGCAGGCAGGCCAAGGTGGCCGACCGCTCTTCCCCACCAGCCAGGCCCCACTCTGTGGGCTGGAAACTCCGTAACAGGCACCTGTTCCTCCTCCGAGGTCTGCACCAACCCCACCTCATTTCCCAGCCAGGGAACCGTGCAGTGACCTCAGTGTGGAAACGACAGGAACTTGGGGTGGAGCCTCAGGAATGGTGGCTGCAAAGGCCCCCCTGAATCCCTGGGGTGCCTCCACTTCCCCATGTGACAGAGCTCCCTGCCGCCTCTTCCCGCCTCAGAGCGGCCCTTATGCCCCACGGGCGAGAGACGGGCGTGGTGGCTCCGGGACCCTGGCCCATGACTGCAGGTCCCCAGGCAGCCACCTCTGGGCCCCAGCGGACCTCTTCGTGAGCCTGGGACCCAGGTGTGAGGGGCGGCCCGGGGCCGGGACAGAGTCACTGATGCCAAAGGGCGCTTGGAGACCTCACGGGCACTGGCAGGTCTGATGGTCTTCGTTGGTGCCTGAGTGATTTCTGCAGCTCATCCCCTGGGCAGCCCTGCGGGCTCTCACTTCCCCGGTAACACGGGGTTCTTCTCCTGTTATCGTTATTTAGGCTTGAGCAATTCCTGCCTCTAGCTTTTTCAGATTTGGTCCGGGAGCCGAGGTACTTCGGACTGTTTCCAAGTGATCCCTGTTTCATTTTAGGCGAGTTTTAAGGAGTCCTACATGGCTACATTTTATGAATTCTTCAATGAGCAGAAATACGCTGATGCGGTGAAGAACGTAAGTATCGACTGCCCGTCCGACAGCCGGTGCTGTGCCCAGGAGACAGAGCTGCTCTTAAAATTGAGATGGAACCCGCATGACACAGACTTGGCCATTAGCGATTTTAAACAATAAGGGCGTTCGCTGCCCAGATAGCCCTGTCCCGAGTCCTGGGACACCTCCTCCTCCGGCAGTAAACTCTTTGGCGTGACCACCTTTGGGGCCAAGAAGGGGCCCTCGCCCATCTCGTTCTGTGTCTGAGACCCCCAGACGAGGGCACGTCCCACCTCAGTGTGTGTGGCGGCTGGACTCATTCCAGGCTGCAGTCGTGGAGCCCTGGGGCCGCAGACTCAGTGTCAGGAACACCGTGTGTGGGGGGACATCCAGACCCAGGGCTCTGCTCTTACCCACTGTCAGGAACGCCATGTGTGGGGGGAACGTCCAGACCCAGGGCTCTGCTCCTCCCCACAGTCAGGGACCCGTGGGCCTCGCTGCTGGGACCCAGATTCCCCACTTAGAGTCCCCCCGGGCAGCCTCTGGAGATGCAGGTTGATCCCCAGGTGTTACCTGAGCTTCTCACCTGAGATCTCCCTGGCAGAGCCGGGGCTGGGGTGGCACAGTGGCAGAGCCAGGGCTGGGGTGGCACAGTGGGGGGCAGAGCCAGGGCTGGGGTGGCACAGTGGGGGGCAGAGCCAGGGCTGGGGTGGCACAGTGGGGGGCAGAGCCGGGGCTGGGGTGGCACAGTGGGGGGCAGAGCCAGGGCTGGGGTGGCACAGTGGGGGGCAGAGCCAGGGCTGGGGTGGCACAGTGGGGGGCAGAGCCGGGGCTGGGGTGGCACAGTGGGGGGCAGAGCCGGTGCTGGGGTGGCACAGTGGGGGGCAGAGGCCCCTCGGCCCTCAGGGAAGGACTTCCCCAAATTCTGTCTCCACTGGCATCAGAAAGGAGGCAGCAGCTGCCGACGCTGTTGTCATGAGAGCCGTGCGCGTCGGGTGTGTGGCTTCCTCCCCGTGACCCGATTTCTTCCTGTGTTAGTTCTTGGATCTGATTTCGTCCTCGGGGAGAAGAGATCCCAAGAGTGTTGAGCAGCCCATCCTGCTTAAAGAAGGGTAAGGCAGCATCCGGCAGGGCAGGAGGGGAGAAAGGGATGGGGGCCCCCAGTCCCCCGAGCACCCAGCACATTCCAGAAGGTTCCCTAGTCGGGGACAGCCTCCTCCCTTGCTGGCCAGCAGCCTTTCGATTTCTGTACCACTGGCCGCCTCGTCCACACCCACACTTGGGGCCGGCCTTCCCTCCAGGGGAACCAGGGTCAGAGGGGACGGCCCTGGGAGCCTGGCCCCTGCACCTTCAGCGTGGGACCCCTCCACCGCCTTCTCGCTGACCTTGGACGGGGTCATCTGTGCTCCATGGCCACCCCATGTTTCTGGCACAGGCCCGTCCTCCCTCGACCTCCACCCAGTGGACCCTGGAGCGTCAGAGCCCATCACCCTTCCTTACATAGATGTTGACACATCTGCCCATTTCCTCCAACCCCGTCCTGTGGCCCGGCTCCCGCTCCCGGTCGGGGCTTTGCTCTGCTTGGTGTGGCCCATGCTCCTGTATTTTTATGTGTTTGCACACGTTAGGGGCACAAATGCAGTTGTATTGGACGGGGCTTCGAGTGTAACCGTCACCTGAACAGACACTTTGCGCCCACTGAGTAATTTCTCGTTCCTCTCCCACTCTCACCTCCCACCCTTCTGAGGCCTCAGTACGTGTCCCAGAGTGCCCCACCCTGCCGTGTTTAGCTCCCACGTACCAGTGAGAACAAGGGGCATTTGGCTTTTCGTTTCTGAGTCATCTCCCTTAAGATAACAACCTCTAGCTCCATTCATGTTGCTGGAAAACATACGATTTCCTTCTTCTTGACAGCAGAGTAGCATGTCGTGGTATATTTATGCCACATTTTGTCACCCATTGGTGGACACGTGGATTCCGTGTCTGTGCTATTGTGAGTGGTTCAGTGGGAAACATACGTATGCATGTGTCTTTATGGTAATTGCTCCTCCTTTGTGTGGGATTGCTAGATCGAATGGCGGCTCTGCTTTTAGCTCTTTGAGAAATCTCCGTGGGTTTCCTTAAGCACTAATTTCCATTCCCCACAGTGTGCAGGCGCTCGCGTCCTCCACAGCCCTGACAGCGTCTGTCATTCTTCCGCATTTTATTTGATCACAGCCATTCTGCCTGGCGTGAGCTGGGGTCGAGTGGCTCCGTTCTGCCTGACGTGAGCTGGGGTCAGGTGGCTCCGTCTGCTGTGAGCTGGGGTTGCAGGAGGCTCCATTCTGCCTGGCGTGAGCTGGGGTTGCAGGAGGCTCTGTTCTGCCTGGCGTGAGGTAGGGGTCAGGCGGCTCTGGTTCTCATTCCTCGGGTGATGAACCATGCTGGGCTTTATATTGTATGCTTGTTGGCCATTTGTCTTCTTCTGAAAAATGTCTATTCCTGTCCTTTGGCCACTTTTAAATGGGTTATTTATTTATTTATTTATTGGTAAGCTGTTTGAGTTCCTTCTGAATTGTGACTATTGGTCCCCTGTTGGATCTGTAGTTTGCAAATATCTTCCCATTCTGTAGGTTGTCTGTTTGCATTGTTGGTTATTTATTTTGCTGTGCAGAAGCTGTTTAGTTTAATTAAGTCCCATTTGTCTATTTTTATGGATACTCTGTTAGAGCCATTTGCTCAAACCTGGAACATCCCTGGGTCACTGGTGGACCATACCCCAGTGGCAGCATTACTTACGTTGCTATTTTTCTTAAAATCACTTTCATTTAACTTAATCATATATTAACCAATAGCATTTGTAATACACACATTTCATGTTAGAAATGCAAAATGTTTGTTCTTCGGTGCCATAAGGAAAAATTAGCATTTAGACAAAAAGTTCTTTTAGCGAGGCAATTTTTACTTTCCACAGAAAGGGTGTCCCTCGCAGATGGAATAATGGCGAGGGCACACACAGAATAAAGAGATGCCAGAACATCGATTCCTTACGCATGAGGTCCTATTGTGTGTCCTGTCTCCATTGGCTGGAGCCAGACCTCACAATCTAAATTACAACCTGACTGGCTAATAATTTAAAACTTTTTTAAATAGGTAGAAAAATAATATTTTTAAATAAGGAAGGGGCATAGGCTGTGAGCTGGGACATGCCTATTAGTACGTCTAACACAAATACCTTGGTTAAGCTACAAGGACACAGAATGTATTACGAGCCTGTGGGCATGTCCAGCAGCTACACAGGATAGAGCTTAATTAACAAAGAGTTATTAGCACAAAGCAAGGAGACTTGAAGGAAGTTAGCTTTAAAAGAAACTATTATTTCTAACGTGATTTATTCTTTAACAAGAAACTTTGAGGAGGAACTTTTTACTTTCTACATTTCATAAAATCACAACTTTCAAAGCAACAAATATTCACCCTATAATCCCTAAGGCAACACAGGACACTCAGGGCTTGTGTGCCTGACGCTGAGAAGCTGCTGTAGATACAGGTTCAAGGACAAGCGCCTCCCAGGTGCCCTGGACGCAGCTGAGGCTCCACCAGCTGTTTCCAGCAGCTGCACCACCTGAGACTCAGGCCGAGGTTTGGGTCCATCAGGACCCTCGAGTTTCCGGTCCCTGGATCAGCCTCTCCTCCGGCACCACAGCTCTGTCACGTCCTCAAACCCAGGGCCGCCCTTGGTTGTGCAAGCGTGGGCCGTCCTGAGGCCTCGGTTCTGCTGTCTCAGCCCTTGGTGGCAGGTGTGTCTGGCCGTGTTCGTCCATGTGTGGAGGTGGTGATGACCATGGTTCCTGAGGTCTCACTCTGTGCTCCCACACCTCTGTTGTCTCTTGGGGCTGTGTGTCCTCACCCACTGGGACACAGGACCGGGGACGGGGCCTCTGCAGTGCGGCCTGTGTTTGCTGAGTTGAGTTGGCCTCACTCACTGGGACACAGGACCGGGGACGGGGCCTCCGCAGTGCGGCCTGTGTTTGCTGAGTTGAGTTGTCCTCACTCACTGGGACACAGGACCGGGGACGGGGCCTCTGCAGTGCGGCCTGTGTTTGCTGAGTTGAGTTGGCCGTGGCCGTGCGGGGCCGAGTTGCTTTCAGCCTGAGGCTTCCAGCTCAGCCGTGGCTCCTGCCTCCCCGTCCCACACACGATGGTCCCGGTTAGAAAATTGGTTCCTGGAGATCCAGGCGCCCAGACCAGAGCTGTGCAGTGAGGAGCCACCGGCTTCTCTCCACCTGGCACTGCCTCGACCTGGAAACCTGCATATAAAATTCACATCCACTGAAGGCTCTCAGAAAGTTGGGGTTCTTAAAAAAATCCTAAAGCCAAACACATTTATAACAAGACTACTACTCAAATCTAACTGCCGCGTGGTCCAGAGTCTTGTCAGAGACGTCCTCTTGCCCTCAAGGAAGCCGGCACCCCGTGGAGCTCCCGTTCCCCCAACCCATCTGTGTGGGCCCCGCCCTGCACATCCCGCTGCGTCCCGCTGGTCCTCCACAGCCTCCGGGGCTGACTTCCTGCCTGCGAATCCCCGGAATGAATGGCATTCTGCATCCGCTGATTGTGAACTGCGCTGTCCCGGCGGCTCCCAGTGGCTTCCACACCCTCCCGTGTGCGTCCGCAGCTCTCTGGCCACATCTGGCTGTGTAGTTGCCCAAAGCCCCTCATTCCGATTTCTGAGTGTGCGTCTCCCCCGCCCACCTCCCCATCCTGTCTCTCCAGCTTGGCTTCTCCTCCTCAGCTTCCACCTCTGTCCTCCAGTCACTCTGTCCGGCCACTTTCTTCTCCTCCAGCTCAGCCACCAGTTCTGGTCAGGGACCCCGTCCGGCGATGAAGGCCGAGCCTCGGAGGGCCCTGGGCTGCCAGGAGGGCGTTCGAGGACCCTGCCTGGGGCCAGGCCTAGGGTCGTCCTCACGGTCCAGGACCCTGCCTGGGGCAAGGCCTAAGGTCGTCCTCGCTGAGGCCTTGCATCCTCGGTGGCCGTCCTGTCTCTGGCTCCCCACATCTCCTGAGGACGTGGCCCAGTGGCGCCTTCTGCCACAGGAGGGCTGGCCCTGAGCAAGGCAGGTTTGGTCTGGCAGAGGCACCGGGGCGTGACTCCTGCACACCACAGGTGCGAGTTTTGTGGGCGTCCGCTGCCCGCCCTGCCCCGAGCCTGCTACCCACCCTGAGCCCGCTGCCCACCCTGACCCCTGACCCCAAGCCCATGGCCCACCCTGACGCCAACCCCTGACCCCGAGCCCACGGCCTTGGGTCCTCTGTGGGAGCATCGCGTCTTGGCATTTCCGGCGGCACCGCTGTTGAAAGTTCAGTGTGGGAGGCGGGAGGGTTGGAGGTCTCCTGAAACCTGGTGCCATCACCAACTGGTGACTCAAAGCAGTCAGCGCTCAACTTTTCAAAGGAGAGGCATTGCCTTCCAATTTTAATCTCATCACTCGGAGTAAAATGATATGATACGGAAAATCCACCGCCCGCCTCAGGTCTCAGAACGCAGAATGTTGGGGGATGTGGCTTTGCGCCTGTGCAGGGAGGCGGCTGAGGCCCGGACCTCAGCCCTGTGTTCTTCACACAGGCTCATGATCAAGAGGGCGCAAGGACGGAAGCGCTTTGGGATGAAGAATTTTAAGAAGAGATGGTTTCGCTTGACCAACCATGAATTTACCTACCACAAAAGCAAAGGTAAGGGGCAAGGCCGTGTTCCCGGGCTCCCGCCGGAGCGTGCTGGGCCCTGGGACTGAGTCTGCTTTTCCGGGGGAGAACTGAGGGGAGGAAGGATTTGGTGCTGCCGGCAGAGCCTGGGGTCGCAGTGACCCAGAGCCCTCTGCTTGCGGCTCTGCCTTCAAAGATCCCTGAAGGGGTCTTTCAGACCTGCTGCTGGAGAGTGAGGGAAACCTGCTTCCCCAGAGAACCAGTAAACGCAGAGCTGACCGCATCAGTAAGGTGCTTTTCCGTCCATGTCCCTTCCTCCTCTGGTCGCCTCGTCACGGCCAGGGTGCTGCTCCCCCGAGGTGGACGGGGCTTCCCGCCACCTCCTGCCCCCCACTGTCAGATCTGCTGGCTCAGATCTGGATTAGGAAATACCAAGCCGTTTCTCCCTATGAGAACGGGGACATGTTCTGGGTACAGAGCCTGAGGCCACGGCAGTGGTGAGGATGCGAGGATTGGGCCCAGCCTGGGCGCATGGCAGGGCCGGGTGGGTCCCAGGCCCCCTCAGCCTCCGCACCTGCAGCCTGTCAGTGATTCAGCCATCACGCCCAAGGAGAGGAACGTGGGGCACCTCCTCATGCTCAGAACACCCCAGCAGAGGCCCCCTGAGCTGAGATCCCCCCGCTGGCAGAGACCCCCAGCAGAGAACCCCCGGCAGAGGCCCCCTGACAGAGACCCCCTTGGCAGAGACCCCCCCAACAGAGATCCCCCGGCAGAGACCCCCCCAGGGAGAGACCCCCCGGCAGAGACCCCCCAGCAGAGACCCCTGGCAGAGGCCCCCCCCAGGGAGAGACCCCCTGGCAGAGACCCCCCGGTAGAGACCCCTCAGCCCCACCATACCCCAGCCGGGACAGCCCGGCCGCACCTGCCAACAGCCCTCCCTGCCGCAGGGGACCAGCCTCTCTACAGCATTCCCATCGAGAACATCCTGGCCGTGGAGAAGCTAGAGGAGGAGTCTTTCAAAATGAAAAACGTGAGTGTGGTGCCCCCGAGTCTCTCTTTCGGGTTGAGGCCTGGCCAGGTTTTCTCTGTTCTCTTCCCGTGCCTGGCCCAGGGCTCACCCTTCCCCACCCCCTGCACTCCAGGCTTCTCAGTCTCCGTGTTACTGGGGGTGCTCACCAGGTGCTGGAGAGTTTGTGTCGGAATCTCGCATCAGAGCAGCCACACTCCGTGTCCGGGGTCACCAGGGTGGGGTGGAACCTGCCGGAAGGTGGGGCCTGAGCTGCTACAGGGGACGTCCCCTGCAGGGTCCCCAAGGTCAAGGTGCCCTCGTCAAAGCCATCCCAGAAGCAGGCTTGGGACCGTCTGGAATTCCTTTTGGAAGCTTTTTTATTTCGATATAATTTTGAATTTATAGAAGTTGCACGAGTAGAACAAGTACTTTCCACACACGCTTGACCCAGACCCACATGTGGCCTCGTTCCCCAGTCACATTCATTCCTTCTCCCTCCACGGGTCCTGCCCGTGCTTTTCTGAACGGTATCAACGCTTCTGAGTGTTTCCCACAGCGCAGATGCCGAAACCACAGCAGCCGCCCATCGTGCGTCACCGGCGCAGCCACGTTTGCGTTTGCCGCCGTCTGGTCCCGTTCCTGCGGCTGTGGTTTCCTCCCCTCTGGATCTAGTCCACACTGCATTCTGCTGCCCCTCGGTCTGGCCGACTGGACACTCCCGGCCTTTCTTTGTGTGTCGTGGCCTTGGCATTTTTGAGGCGTGCAGGCCTTCGGTTTTGTGGATGTCCCTCCCTGTGGGTTTGTGCCGACGTGGCAGGTTCTGATGATGCATTTTTGGCAGAAATCCCCTAGAGGTGTCCGTGGCGTCGTCATTGTGTGGTGGCCTCCCAGAGTCGGCCGCTGGCCACGTTCTCCCCGGTGACTCAGTGCCCCCGCCGTCCATGCCATCCTGAGGCTGACCCTGTACCCTGACACGTGCTGGCTGTGACAAGCCTTCTGTGCCCCGACTGTAGCATCAGGGCCGTAGAACGGTTGCAGGGAAGGCACAGTCCCTGGGCCTCGTGCCAAAGTCAATGCATGTTCCTTACCATGGGTGGGATTCTGCTAGCGTGTTATTCATGGGCAGTCCAGACAGATCCCGCAAAAGTCCTAAGTTTGTAGAGTAATTTGAAGAGGAGGGTATGGGAAGCGGAGGGTTGGGAAGAGGGGGCGGTGGGAAGAGGAGGGTGTGGGCTCAGTGCCTGTGACTGAGGGGACGGCCGGGACCTGGCCCTGAGACCATCCCTCGGAGGAAGCAGTGGCAGTGTGGAAATGTCCTGGAAGCACCTCCAGCCTTCACATAGATTCCCAATAATTCCCTCGTTTCAGCCGCCTGTTCCCAGCTGTTTGTTCCCTCTGACTTCCTCAGAGCCCGATTCCCCTGGGGCCACTGCCAGGCCAGACTGTCACCAGCTGGGGAAACCTTTCTGAAGGCTGCTCCTGGAGGCAGGGCCAAGCCTGGGTTGATGGCCGGGATGCCCTCCATGGGTGATCACAACCATGCATGGGAGTGTCCAGTCCGAGACCTGCACACGTGTGCCAGGTGTGAGGCAGGTAGCTCCTGGCCTCTGTAAATAAGACCTCAGCTGCTCACCAGAAACCTGGAGCCCCAGATCCTCCCCAGACCAGTGCAGAAGGCCTGTCCCCTAGAGAAGGCCACTGTCCTCCTGGCTCCTGACTCAAGGGCAAGTCCCACATAAGAGGCCTCCCGCCTCCAGTCAGCCTCCTGCTCAGAAAACCTGACTTCTGTGTGCAGCAGAGCCGGCTCCTTCTGCGAGCTTCTGACCTCCGATCCTAGGATCCCTGTCCCCCCTGCCCCAGGGCCCCCATCCCTCTAATCCTAGGGCCTCTGTCACTCCTGCCCCGGGACCCCTGTTCCTCCAATCACAGGACCCCTGTCCCCCCTGCCCCAGGACCTTTGTGCCTCCCATTTCTTCTGCCTTTAACACCCTTTGCCCCCACCCCCTGCTTGACTAACTTTGAGTCAGCCCCAACCGCAGCACCAGCACTACTCACTTCCAGCCGCTGCTGACGCCTGCCCTTGTTTAGTCTTTCTTGGTGGCTGCAGGTTCAGCAGAAACTCTAGGCCAGGCGTTGTCTCTGGGACCTAGGAGAGTGCTGGTGCTTGGTCATGTGTGTTGAATGAGTAGTAAATGGCAAAGGTTGTTGCTGCCCTGAGACGCTTCAAGAGAAAGGAGCCCCCTAACCCCAGCTGGGAGGAGGAGGAAGCACCCTGGGCTGGTCGGGTGGGAGAGGAGCTGAGCAGGTTGGGCCACCTGGGCTGACGCCGCAGGAGCTCCGCGTGGGTGGACGCCTGCCTCGTGGGGAGGCCACAGGCCCCTCTTCTGCCTTTTGAGTGGAGACCTCCAAGGCTCCAGCACATAAAGCACCTTGGTCAAGCTGTTCCTGGCCCCCCAGCCACGTCTCCAGCCACACCAGTTCTTACCTCCATCCCCCACGGCCCCAGCTGTCAGGTTTAAGGGTGGCAGAGAGCTCTGCGCAGCCCCCAGGCTTGGCCTCTTCTGGGGCTCAGAGCTCCGGGACGCCTGGGCCTGTGCACCCTCGGCGTCCCCTCTTACGGCTCCAGCGAGGACGGCCAGGTGCCTGGCGGACTCTTGCACGCACTCATCCACGAGACCTCGTGTGCACCGTCCTGAGCCCGCCTGTATCCTCAGATGTTCCAGGTCATCCAGCCGGAGCGCGCGCTGTACATCCAGGCCAACAACTGCGTGGAGGCCAAGGACTGGATCGACATTCTCACCAAAGTGAGCCAGTGCAACCAGAAGCGCCTCACTGTCTACCACCCGTCCGCCTACCTGAGCGGCCACTGGCTGTGCTGTAGGGCGCCCTCGGACTCGGCTCCAGGCTGCTCGCCCTGCACCGGGTAGGTCTGTGCCTCGGCGCCCGGCGTGTGCACTGTGCAGGAAGTGTGGCCAAGGGGCCAAGTAGGGAGGGACCAGTGGACGGTGCATGTCTGCCTGTAAGCCGCAAATAAACAAGGCTGCACTCGCCTCGTCCCAGGAGCCTCCCACCTGAGGGGGCCTCCCACCCAAGGGGGCATCTGGGGCCCAGTCTCTCGAAGGCTCTGTGCAGACTCGAGGGTGCTGCAGGCCTTCGAGGGTCCTCCTGAGGCCCTGCCCGGGGGGAGTGGGAGGTCAGGGTGAAGGGGGGCTCCCCAGTCCGCGGCCATCCTGCTTCCCTGAGAGAAGCGTGGGAGCAAACCCCTCCCTGAAAGTTTCATCTGGCCCAGGACACCCACCTTGATTCCGTGTGACACAGCAGCCCATTGTCTTCCTGGCCGCTCGTTAGCTGGGCCTCCCATCAGCTGGGCCTCCGGCAGTTCCACAGAGACTAGGGTCATGTCTGCCGGTCCTAGAAGGAGGCCGGGGTGCCTGGCGTCCCCGGTTATGCTCCGTGAGATGCACCTACCTCACTGTTGTCCTGGCCACATTATGGCCTCACGTAAGGGCCCTGCGGAGGATGAGCTGTGCTCCACACTGGGCCACTGTTCAATCCTCCCACAGCCTCCGAGGTGGGACCTTAGATCCTGCTTCATGGACACAGAGGCTGAAGCTCAGGAGGAAGGTCTGGCTGCCGCCCAGGCATGCGTGGCCACCGTCCCAGGATCCCCGGGAGAGGCCAGCGCTCTCCTGTATCCTCGAAATCCCGGGAGAACGGGAAGCATTGCAGCCTGGGGAGGAGAGGAAACCTGGCCCACCCCCAGCTGCAGCCGACTCTGCCGGGGACAGAGCCCCAGGAGGCTTCCTTCCAGGCCATTTCTCCCCATGAGAAAACATCTGTCGAATTTGCTCGCTGCCTTGGCAGATCTGTGGGTCCCAAGAGTCTCCAGCTGCTGAGACCGGACAGCTCGGGAGTCTCCCCTGTCCCGCACACCCGCAGCCGGCCTCAGCTCTCCCAGCTCAGGGATGCTTTTTTAATTTTATGTTTTTGAGACGGGATCTCATTCTGTCGCCCAGGCTGGAGTGCAGTGGTGCAATCTCAGGCTTCCACCTCCCAGGCTCAAGCCATCCTCCCACCTCAGTCTCCCAGGTACCTGGGACTACAGCTGTGCTCCACCACTCCAGGCTAATTGTTTCAAGGTTTTTTGTTGAAACGAGGTTTCACCACATTGCCCAGACTGGTCTCAAACTTCTGGGCTCAAGCAATCCTCCCACGTCACCTTCCCGAGTAGCTGGGACTACAGGCGGGTGCCACCACGCCCAGCTCACTAAATTTTGTTTTTTGTAGAGACAGGGTCTCACTGTGTTGTCCAGATCTCACTGAAAGGGTCTCCTGGTGTTACCCAGGGTCCTCCTGGGCTCAAGTGATCCTTCTGTCTCGGCCTCCCAGAGTGCTGGGATTACTGACATGAATCCCCTGACTGGCCAGGGATGTGTTTTAATGTCGGTCGCTTCATCTTCTTCTTCCCTTTTTTTTTTTTTTTTGATGATAAATGCATTTCATTATTTATTTAGATGTTGAAGCTCTCACCACTAAGTTTTTACAAACTGTTGAAGACTGACCAATTATTTCTCACACGGAAGTACAACCGCCCATCTCCAGACAGCATACATATATGGTTGAACTAACATGAATAAATGACACCATTTTATCAATTACATAATGAAACAAATGACCAAGTATCCAAATACTGAGCTACTCAGCTCAAAAGGTATATACAACATTGGACGTCTGTTCAGTTCGTTGGCAGAAACCCACTTCTTTTTTCGCAAGAGAGGCTGGGAAGAAAAGGGGAAAACTACCACACTTCAAACAAAAATAAGTTGGTGAAACAATTTCTAATCAGTGTGGCAAACATCGCAGAAGCGTCAGAAATTTTGTGATTTAAGAATTGTTTTAGCTATAAGAAGCATTTCTGCCTTTTAAAAAGTATTTACTAAATTTAAGAGCATATTTCACATGTTCTGCACAAGGCAGAATTTGCTAAAAATAATTAACAGCCCCGCGCATTCCTATCAAGCCCTCCCTGTTGGTTGCACCTGAGTGCAAATGTTGAATTAACCGTGAGCCCCCTGTGTCTGAAGCCGTCAAAGACGTGCTTCTGTACAATGTAGATTTTCTTTTTTTTTCTTTTTTTTTTTAAGATGGAGTCTCGCTCTGTTGCCCAGGCTGGAGTGCAGTGGTGTGATCTCAGCTCACTGCAACCTCCACCTCCCGGGTTCAAGCAATTCTCCTTTCTCAGCCTCCTGAGTAGCTGGGATTATAGGTGTGTGCCACCACACCCAGCTAATTTTTATATTTTTAGTAGAGATAGAGTCTCACCATGTTGGCCCGGATGGTCTTGAACTCCTGACTTCAGATGATCCACCCACCTCTGCCTCCCAAAAGTGTGGGGATTACAGGCGTGAGCCACCGCACCCAACTTTGGAGGTTTTTCATAATAAGACAAGTAAGATTTATTAAAAGACATGAGGCCGGGCTCAGTGGCTCACACCTGTAATCCCAGCACTTTGGTAGGTCGAGGTGGGTGGATCACCTGAGGTCAGGAGTTCAAGACCAGCCTGGCCAACATGGTGAAACCCCATCTCCACTAAAAATACAAAAATTAGCCAGCATGGTGGCGGACGCCTATAATCCCAGCTACTCGGGAGGCTGAGGCAGGAGAATCACTTAAACCTGGAAAGCAGAGGTTTCAGTGAGCTGAGATCGCGCCGCTGCACTCCAGCCTGACGTGTGCTGGTGTGAACGTAGGAGAAGCGGACATAGAGTGAGCAGGGAAATAACCGCACAACCTCCTTCCATGTTTGAAATGACTGAAGGAATAAACCACCTGAGGTCTGGAGTGTTCATAGTTCCTGGGAATTTAGTTCTGTATTATACTAAAAATGTACAAGTATTACGCTGGGGACTTTAGCACCTAATCTTCCTAAATTTCTTATGTATTGAGAAGATTCTGGAGTAGGAATAGATTTAAACAAGACGTAACTCAGTACTGCATGATTTCAGGAAAGGTCAGTTAGTACAAACGATAAGCACATTTTAAATACTGAACAGCGAGGATCTTTTGCCGAGTGTCCAAATAGGCTGATGGTAACTGAAGCAGAGGTTGCCGGTTCGTTCCGGCTTGCGGCCGGCCTGGTGACACAGCTGCCCATGCTGCTGTGGATGCCACTAGGCTTGCTCAGCAAGCCAGCACACTAGCTGTGTACAGACAGACGCCAAATAGGTCCTGTCTCGAGTTTCACTTCCAACATATCGTCGTCTTTCTTCAGTGACATTTTAAAAATTAATGTCATTATTAAAAGCATAGTTTAAATAAGTGTTTTTATCTTTCTGTTCTTGATGTGTCTGGACAGCGGCCTCCCAGCCAACATCCAGCTGGACATTGACGGGGACCGTGAGACAGAGCGTATCTACTCCCTCTTCAACTCGTACATGAGCAAGCTGGAGAAGATGCAGGGTGAGTCTGCCCGGCACGCCAATCCGTGCAGCGAGGGGACGCCTGGCGAGGCCCCGGCCACAGGAGCATGCTGCGGGGTGAAAACCTGTGGTCTGAGCCTCTCGTGTAGTGTGGGCTACATGTAGTTGTGTTTGTAGCGCGGATAGATGGATGCGAAAAGCTTTTTGCAGGGTAGGCAGCTATTTGGGGGACAGTTACCTTGATAACAGGTTCTATAGATAATTTTTAGATGGAATTTAACTTGTAATCTCTGTACTGCCAGATTTCTTTAGAGGACCCTATTTTTTTATTCCTTTGTGTTTTCCACAGGGACAAGTGCATGTGTGTGGACGTGTGTGAGTGTGCATGCATGTGTGCACATATGAGATGTGTGCATGTGTCTGGCATGTGTGAGCTTGTGAATGTGTGGACATGTGTGAGTGTGCATGAAAGTGTGGACACATGTATGTGTGTGAATGTGGACACATGAGTGTGCATGAATATGTGGATGTGTGTGAGCATGTGTGAATGTGTGGACACGTGTGAGTGCATGAATGTGTGGACACGTGAGTGCATGAATGTGTGGACACGTGTGTGCGTGCATGAATGTGGACACGTGTGAGCATGCATGATGTGTGGACATGTGTGAGTGTGCGTGAATGTGTGGACATGTGTGAGTGTGAATGTGTGGACATGTGTGTGAGTGCATGAATGTGTGGACATGTGTTTGTGCGTGAATGTGTGGACATGTGTGAGCATGTGTGAATGTGGACATGTGTGAGTGCATGAATGTGTGGACATGTGTGTGAGTGTATAAATGTGGACATGTGTGAGCGTGTGTGAATGTGGACACATGAGTGTGCATGAATATGTGGATGTGTGAGCTGAGTGTATAAATGTGGACATGTGTGAGCGTGTGTGAATGTGGACACATGAGTGTGCATGAATATGTGGATGTGTGAGCATGTGTGAATGTGGACACGTGAGTGTGCATGAATATGTGGATGTGTGAGCGTGTGTGAATGTGGACACGTGAGTGTGCATGAATGTGTGGACATGTGTGAGCGTGCATGAATGTGTGGACACAACGTATGAACATGCATGAATGTGGACATGTGTTAGTGTGCATGAATGTGTGGACACAACATATAAGTGCATGAATGTGGACATGTGTGAGTGTGCATGAATACGTGGATGTGTGAGTGTGCATGAATGTGCAGACATGCATGTGAGTGCATGAATGTGTGGATGTGAGTGTGTGGGAATGTGTGGACACGTTTGAGCTTGTGTGACTGTGTGGACATGACATGTATGAGCGTGTGTGAATGTGTGAACACGTGAGCGTGCATGCATATGTGCATATGTAGAAATGTGTGGGCACGTGTGTGAGTGCATGCATGTCTTTGGGCACGTGTTTGAGCATGCATGTATATGTGTGCACACATGCCATCTAATTCTGTAAAACCATTCAGTGTCACAGATAATGATACTGTATATAGATTTGAAACTGTGCCAGGCACACTGTGTGTTTCAAATTTATTTGCAGTATCATTATCTGTGACATTGAATGGCTTTACAGAATTGAAATAGCAATCCAGGTAAGCCCAATTAGACAACATAGGGACAGTGGTTTGAGGTCTGTAATTCAGAAGAGGCAGAGACAAGAAGAGCCCACGGCAGGGGGCAGGGGGTGCGAAGCAGCTGCGTTTGTTTCTATGCTAGGGTCTGGTAGAACTCAGTTCTGCTCTTGGAGATCATATGACAGGGCCCTTGAGTCCCACTCAGAATGGAAATGGAGCAGAATGTGCCTGGAGTTATGCCTGATAGATTTTCTTCTTTTCATTCCCCTGATTTAACCCAGAAGTGTCAAGTGTGTCTTGGCCTGGAAACACGAGTCCTGCCTGAGTGTCCGTGCATCTGCCCATCTATGAGCTTGGCCACGCCTGTTCTCCAGCCCCACATGCCCTGGGTGTCCGTGGTTCCAGGCATACACAGACACACAGGCATGTACACACGTATGCATAGCCATGTACACACACGTTCCCAGCCATACATGCATGAAATGAACACACAGGTACATGTGTGTGCAGAGAAGCAAGGCAACAATACCTGCACACATGTGCAATTGAACACAACACGCTCACATGTGCAGGCATGCATGCACATTCTCAGACAACCACACACGTACGCACTCGTGGGCCACCACCCACCACAGCGTCTTCTCCCCAGCAAGTGTGCCAGGTGCTGTCCCTGGGTCTGAGGTCCCTCCAGGTGCTGTCCCTGGGTCTGAGGTCCCTCCAGGTGCTGTCCCCGGGTCTGAGGTCCCTGGATACTGTGCAGATGGCACAAGGCCTCAGGGTGGCCAAGACAGTGGGTCAGGCATCAGCTCGCCTCTTCCCAGCCCTCTCATAGCAGGAGCCAACACAGCGGAGGCCAGAGTCGAGGAGCCTCGGAGAGGGTGAGGTCATCACACACAAGACCCAGGTTCTGAAAGATGCTGACCAGGCCCTCCATGATCAGCTTGCTGCATGCACCACTCTCCAACCTTGCTCAGCCCCTCCCAGGCCATGCACCCCGCACCACAGCTCCAGCTCTTCCTTCCTCTGCCGGGAGCAGCCTTGCGCATCAGTCTGGCAGACCCTGTTTACCTTGGAAGTGTCCTCCCCCAGCACTTCCCAGCCTCCCCATCCCCGTAGGCTGGTGTATTAGTTCTCACGTTGCTGTGAAGAGCTACCTGAGCCTGCATAATTTATAAGGAAAAGATTGATTGACTCACAGTTCTGCAGGCTGTACGGGAAGCATGGTTGGGGAGGCCTCAAGAAACTTTCAATCATGGTGGGAGGGCAAAGAGGAAGGAAGGAGGCACCTCCTACATGATGGGGGAAGATGCCACACACGTCCAGACAACCAGACCGCGTGAGAACTCACTGTTACGAGAACAGCAATGGGGAAGTCCACCCCCGTGATCCCCTCACCTCTCCCCAGGCCCCTCCTCCAACACTTGGGCTTCCAGTCTGACCTGAGATTTGGATGGGGACACAAATCCAAACCACGTCACCTGGAATCACCTGTGTCACCAAAGTCACAACCATCTCCCATCAGCTCAGCTTCCACATGCAGTGACCTTCCTGGGCCTGGCACAGAGGAAGTGCCTAGCACCTGGATGGGTGTGCTGGACAGATGGCCAGGCAGGCAGCTGAGTGGGTGGGTAGGTGGGTGGGTGGACCAATGGGTGAGTGATGGGTGGATGGACCAATGGGTGACTGATGGGTGGATGGAGCGATGGACAAATGATGGGTGGATTAACAGATGGTTGCGTGATGGGTGGATGGACAAATGGGTGAGTGATGGATGGATGGACCAAGGGGTGAGTGATGGGTGGATGGACAGATCGGTGAGTAATGGGTAGATGGATGGATGGGTGAGTGATAGATGGATGGATCAAGGGGTGAGTGATGGGTGGACGGACAGATGTGTGAGTAATGGGTGCATGGACAGATGGATGGGTAGATGGGTGGATGGACAGATGGGTGAGTAATGGGTGCATGGACAGATGGATGGGTAGATGGGTGGATGGACAGATGGGTGAGTGATGGGTGGACAAATGGGTGAGTGATGGGTGGATGGACGGATGGGTGAGTCATGAGATGGATGGGTAGATGGGTGGATGGACAGATGGGTGAGTAATGGGTGCATGGACAGATGGATGGGTAGATGGGTGGATGGACAGATGGGTGAGTGATGGGTGGACAAATGGGTGAGTGATGGGTGGATGGACGGATGGGTGAGTCATGGGTGGAGGGACGGATGGGTGAGTGATGGGTGGATTGACAGAGGGGTGAGTGATGATGGGTGAGTAATGGGTAGATGGACAGATCGGTGGATGGACGGCTGGATAAGTGATGAGTGGATTGACGGATGGGTGAGAGATGGGTGGATTGACAGATGGGTGAGTGATGGGTGGACAGATGGGTGAGTGATGGGTGGATGGACTGAGGAGTGAGTAATGGGTGGATGGACAGATGGGTGGATGGACGGATTTGTGAGTGATGGGTGGGTGGATGGATGCCTGAGTGATGGATGGATGGACCGAGGGGTGAGTGATGGGTGGATGGATGGATGGGTGAGTAATGGGTGGATGGATAAATGGGTGAGTGATGGATGGATAGACTGAGGGGTGAGTGATGGGTGGATGGACAGATGGGTGAGTCATGGGTGGATGGATGGGTGAGTGATGGGTGGAGGGACAGATGGGTGAGTGATGGGTGGATTGACAGATGGGTGAGTGATGGGTGGAGGGACGGATGGGTGAGTGATGGGTGGATTGACAGATGGGTGAGTGATGATGGGTGAGTAATGAGTAGATGGACAGATGGGTGGATGGACGGATGGATGACTGATGGGTGGATTGATGGATGGGTGAGTGATGGGTGGATGGACGGATGGGTGAGTCATGGGTGGATGGATGGGTGAGTGATGGGTGGAAGGACAGATGGGTGAGTGATGGATGGATTGACAGATGGGTGAGTGATGGGTGGAGGGACAGATGGGTGAGTGATGGGGGGATTGACAGATGGTTGAGTGATGATGGGTGAGTAATGTGTAGATGGACAGATGGGTGAATGGACAGATGGATGAGTGATGGGTGGATTGACGGATGGGTGAGAGATGGGTGGATTGACAGATGGGTGAGGGATTGGTGGATGGACAGTGGACAGATGGAAACAGGTCCCACATACCCTCCATGAGGGTTCACAGCACATCAGCATGGTTGGAAGCCTCAGTCCAGGGACCTCACCCCTCAGGGCACTGAGTCCCTCCTCTGTGGTGTTCAAGCCTCGACTGGAATCTCAGTGCATCCTTGAGGCAGATGGTTTTGTTGTTGGAGAGTTCTAATGACTTCCCGTCACTTGGCCCACGGGATTCTTTCCACCCAGTGTAGCAGGTCCTTACTGCTGGCCTGTGGGGCTGAGGAGTGCTGTACCAGGGCACCTGTGCGGGAGGCAGATAGTCACTGTCCCTTCCCCATCCCACACGTGGTGTGGCCTCTCCCCTGGCCAACCTCCCTTGGGCACACTCTAGTTCTTTTTTTTTTTTTTTTTTGAGACGGAGTCTCGCTCTGTCGCCCAGGCTGGAGTGCAGTGGCCAGATCTCAGCTCACTGCAAGCTCCGCCTCCTGGGTTCACGCCATTCTCCGGCCTCAGCCTCCCGAGTAGCTGGGACTACAGGCGCCCGCCACCTCGCCCGGCTAGTTTTTTGTATTTCTTAATAGAGACGGGGTTTCACCGTGTTAGCCAGGATGGTCTCGATCTCCTGACCTCGTGATCCGCCCATCTCGGCCTCCCAAAGTGCTGGGATTACAGGCTTCAGCCACCGCGCCCGGCCCACACTCTAGTTCTTTATGTTGTCCTGAAGTTTGGTGACAGAGTGACACCCAGTCCTGCAGGTGAGGCTCCATGGCAGGGCGTGGTGGGGTCCCGTGCAGAGGGCTGGCCTTGGCCTTGGGCCATGCCACTGTGATTTTGCAGACGGTCTGGAAGTCGGCGGCAGGAGTGGGAACAGCTCTGCTGTGGGGGCCAGCAGGTCGCTGTGATCAAGTTGTGTCCTGGGACAAGCCACTTGTTTTTTCATCTACAGGACAGGCACATCCCCTTGGTTAGAGATTTGGGGAAGATTGGAGTGGCTTACACACAGCCTGGAGCACAGTGGCTCATCGCAGCTGTTATGTAAATGCTCTTTTCACTGACACCTTGTTATGCTTTGGTCAGATAAAGGGCCAGTCTTCACAGGCCACGGCCTCATAATTAACTTCAGAATGCAGCTTCGTGCTGTCGTCCTGTGTCTGAGGGAGCCTGGGGCTACGCCTAGCAGTGGGGTCTGCTGTGGTGGTTGTGTCTCAGGCCGTCCTTCCCGTGGCTTGGTGTCCCAGCTGTGCGGATACCATGTCTTCCCAGGCCCAGCTCACGCTTGGACAAGCACTTGGATCTGTCCTTGGGGGGCCATGGATGCTCAGTCAGCACAAACCCACCAGCTGATCCACTTTGGTTGCTCAGTCGGCACAAACCCACCCTCTGATCCGTTTTGGACACTCAGTCGGCACAAACCCACCAGCTGATCCATTTTGGACGCTCAGTTGGCACAAACCCACCAGCTGATCCATTTTGGATGCTCAGTCAGCACAGACCCACCCTCTGATCCGTTTTGGACACTTAGTCGGCACAAACCCACCAGCTGATCCATTTTGGATGCTTAGTCAGCACAAACCCACCCTCTGATCCGTTTTGGACACTCAGTCGGCACAAACCCACCCTCTGATCCGTTTTGGACACTTAGTCGGCACAAACCCACCAGCTGATCCATTTTGGATGCTTAGTCAGCACAAACCCACCCTCTGATCCGTTTTGGACACTCAGTCGGCACAAACCCACCAGCTGATCCATTTTGGATGCTTAGTCGGCACAAACCCACCCTCTGATCCGTTTTGGACACTCAGTCGGCACACACCCACCAGCTGATCCATTTTCTTCTCCACAACTTCACATCTTGATCATGCGGCCATTCGTAGAAATGTAGCAGGTGCTTTGCTGAAGTCCACGCGCACACATGCTGCTCTGAGCTTTCCCTAAACCCTCCGTTTTAAACCTTATCATACAAAGAGGAACTACAGATTCCCTATCGTGATATTTTTCTAGTTATTGCCAGTGTTATTTTTTAATCAATATTCCAGCTGAGAATTTTGCGTCTGATACGTGGTCCATGGACTCCTTCTGGGTGAGAGCAGCACTCTGGTGGCCCTGCCCCTTCAGGGTCCTTCTTCCCTCGTCTTGAAGAATGGCACGTGTTCATGGCTGAATAGCTCTATGGCCTGGCTTGTAGGGCTTAAGACACCGCAGCCTGCCTTCATTTCATCCTGTTTTCTCTGTCTCCTGGTTCCATCTGGCAGTCCCCGGCTGGCACGGTTCCTTCTCTGCTCCCAGCTGTGGCTGAGATGGTTCATCAAGTCCATGGCTCAGCCCCACACTTGTCTCCTTATCAGATGGCCACACGGCCACTTGCTTAGTGGTCTGTTCCAAACACTTTGTCATTTTTTTGAGATATGGGGAGGCTGGAATTTTAATTCTCAAATCCTTTAACTTAACCAACTCTTTGAGTTCTGGTTCCTTTTTGCTCAACAATTCCACCTTCAAATCATCTCTCTTCCCCCATTTTGCTGTGAGCGAGCAGGAGGACCCAAGCCGCTCCCCCAGCATTTTGCTTAGAAATCTCCTCAGTTACGTGTCTGATGTCATCACTCTCAAGTTCCACCCTCCCAGAACACGAGGGCGTGAACACAAGTCCACTTTGTCACGAGGATGGCTTTTTCTCCGCTGTCCAGTAGCACGGCCTTTCTACCTGAGAGGTTGTTAGAACAGCCTTGCCACCCATGCTCGTACCACCATTCTGTTCAGGGTTACGTAGACATCCCCTAAGACAGGCCTTCTCTGCAGCTCTCCTCCTCTCCCGAGCCCCCAGCTTTGCCCTTCAAGGGCATTCACACCAGCCAAGCCGCTTCCGGCATGCACCCCCAAACCCCTGCAGCCTTCGCCCAGCACCCGGTTCCAAAGCCAGTCCACATTTGAAGGTACTTGTTACAGCAGCAGCCACTTCTCAGTCCCAGGTTCTTAGTCAGTTTGGGCTGCAATAAAATTGTACCATAGGCTGGGTGGTTACCGACAGCAGGAATTCACCTCCCAGCATGAAGGCTGAGAAGCTCGAGATCAGGGCGTAGTGACGCTGGTTTCGCTGCGGACCCTCTTCTGGGCTACAGCCCGCCAGCGTCTCATCGTGTCCTCACGTGTGGAAGGGGCGAGCCAGCTTCCTTGGCGTCTTTTATAGGGGTGCCCGTCCCGTGCCCAAGGGTTCCACCATCACGCCTTGTCCCTTCCGAAGGGCCTCACCTCCAGACGCCATCCCTTGAGGGTTAGGATTTCAACCCATGGATCTGGGGGCACATTCATTCCATTGAGATGGGCACAGCTGCAGGGCATTGGTGCTGGCTCTGGGCGTGCGTGCCCAGGCGCTGTGAGCAGTGAGGCAGAGACGTGCCTGGTTCAGGTGTTTGGACTCAGGTGGCACAGGGCCCTGTCCCAGCTCAGGGGTTCCATGGCCGTCTGCTGGGGATGAGGCCCCAGAATGGCCTTCAGTGGGAGTGATGTGGTCCGATTAGGAAGGTGGCCTGCCCGCGGGAATGGTTTCTGTGTCCGTCTGCGTTTACGAGTGGCGGCCAGCCCTTTCTGGAGGAGCTTGCATTGGAAGGACGTGTGCTGTGGGTGGGGCCTGCAGTGATGCAGCTGTGTGGAGACGGGGCCAGTGGCCGCTGGACCCTGGGCTCCTGCCCTGCGCTGACCCCTCCATCCTCCACAGAGGCCTGTGGGAGCAAATCCGTGTACGACGGCCCGGAGCAGGAGGAGTATTCGACGTTCGTCATTGACGACCCCCAGGAGACTTATAAGACACTGAAGCAGATCATCGCTGGCGTCGGGGCTTTGGAGCAGGAGCACGCCCAGTATAAGAGGGACAAGTTCAAGAAGACGAAATATGGAAGCCAGTGAGTGCCACTCCTGTGCCTGCCCTGGACGGCCAACGTGGTGGGTGGGAGGGTGCAGTGGGGGTGGGGCTGCAGGGAACTCCTGGGTGAGACCGCCTGTGCACAGGTGTCTGCCTGGTCAGGAGAATCCCAGTTGCACCTGGCTGGCACCTGGCAGTGGTCAGTGGATGTGGCCCGGCGCTGCTGGTCCCTCCTTCGGAGCAGGTGCTGCCTTTGCTCTCCAGGACCCCAGCCAATGTCTGGGGTGCCTCCCTCGCCTGCTGCCTCCCAGCCTCTCTGCTATGCTGGTCTCATGTGCTCTAGTCTCTACGCCGAGGCCGCCTTCTGCCTTGGTTGAGTGGCACACCCTCTGCCATCTCTCCAGGCGACCCATGGTGTCCAGGAGTAGGGTCAGCTCTGGACGAAACCCACTCTTGTCTCATGAAGCAGGTGTGGTGAGGTTGAGTACGTTCAACCTAGTTACAGGCTGCAGGCTACGTGGTGCTTAGCTAAGCTCCACTCCCCCTCACTCCATGGGACAGAGGGTTGTAAGACCCTCCTGAATTGCTGGAAGATTGACTTATACTATGTAAAGTGCTAGACTGGCTCTCGGCCTGGAGTGAGCAGGTGTGTCTGTGTCACTCTCTCCATCCAGTGGGTACCCAGGGTCCACCGTGGCAGAACCCACCACACAGGCTTGTTCAGGGGTGGGTAAGCCCAAGAGCCCTGTGTAGCTGTACAACCTCCTTCTCACTTCCACCTTCCTGCTCGCTCCTCTCTTCTGTCCTCCCTCCCTTCCATCCTCCCTCTCTCCTCCTCCACCCTTCTCCTCCTCCCTCCCTCCCTTCCTTCTTAACCCTTCCTTCCTTCCACCATGCGGGTCTGGTCTGGGAAGGGCAGTGGTGAGGCTCCAGGAGAGTGACAGGTCCCTGTGGCTCCGACTTGGACCGAGTTGCTCAGGGGACTGAGCCTGCAGCACCTCCTGAGTGCTGTGACTTCACCCCTGACATCATCATATCAGATTCCTCTCAACACCCTTCGGGGGAGACAGCCCCGTTTGCCTTCCAAATACGTTGCCTCGTTGATATCATCAGCTCCATCAACCTCATGGCCAAAAACCAGCAGGTTGAAAAATGCGTGAAGCGTGATGCTGTTTGTTGTAGCAGAAGGTGCACACAAGACACACACGGTATGAGATGCACACACACAGGAGAAGGTGCACACACGGAGGAGGTGCACACAGGGGAGGAGGCGCACACGGGGGGAGGTGGACACACGTGGGAAGAAGTGGACCCAACACGTGGGAGGAGGTGGACACACGTGGGAGGTGGACACTTGGGGGGAGGTGGACACGTGGGAGGAGGTGGACACGTGGGGGGAGGTGGACACACAGGAGGAGGTGGACACACAGGAGGAGGTGGACACACGTGGGAGGAGGTGGACACACGTGGGAGGTGGACACGTGGGGGCAGGTGGACACGTGGGAGGAGGTGGACACACGTGGGAGGTGGACACGTGGGAGGAGGTGGACACGTGGGAGGAGGTGGACACACGTGGGAGGTGGACACATGGGAGGAGGTGGACACGTGGGAGGAGGTGGACACACGTGGG